CCATTTCCCGCCAGGGTATCTAAAGAGTGCTGAGTACGATGGCTATCAGTAAAGGGAGAAGTCTCGTAGGATGGAGTGGATTTTCTCCTTATATTAACCGCTCCCAATTCTAGGTTTCTCCAAAGAAATCCCCTTCTTTTCCTCTCTATTTCCGCTATCGACGCATAAGGGACTACTAAAACAGGTTAAGAACCAGTATAAAACATAATGTTCTCCTAAAGTCAAGGTAAGKTACGCCCTATTTTTTWAGCTGTGAACACAGCAACCATATCCCCMAAGGTCAGGGCCATTTGRGTAAATAAAATACTTGACCCCCTTTCTCGTWTAATTGACAAACAAGTGTGCATYTAGATCAATCAGTTTACCAASGAAGCACGTACGAATGTAKTAAACAATTCTTGGAATTCCTTTGTGGAAATAAGAAGAAGGAGAATGGTGACAAGTGAGTTCAAGATTAAAAGTCTGTAGTATGTTTGAATAAAACTAAACCAAAATGCGCTTATTTTGATGCGTGAAAAGGACCAGGCATCGAACATCCAAAGCTAAAGCTAAGAATAACCAAGCCAAGACCTTTGTGACCCAAAGCGTCCATATTTAGCTGTAACCCACTCTACCTCATCTTATCGTCAAACAGGTTACCCAACACCAAACCCGCAAATATTGAAGAGTCTTGCACAAGATGTGGTCAATGTGCGTCAAGAATGGCTGGAATTTTATCTGGTATAACACTGCTGTTAAAAACACTCACGAAACAGAGTTATTTTTAAACCATAAATGAATAAATATTAAGAAATACAYATTTGAAAACACACATATAACGTAATAAAGCAGCAGTTGCGAAACAACCATARCAAAATGATGCGTTTGAAGGATTGAAGACARAAAAGGCAGTATGTATGTCAGAGCAATTTTCGACTGTTAGCAATTAAAATCAGTAAATAAACTTTTGTTTACCATATTTCCTATCATAACCTATTATTTCTTAGCTAATAATTTTCAGAATTACAAACAAAARCCATATGATCAAACGTTCTAGAACTCCAGTWGTTCACAGTTTTCGTGTTTGTTTGAAATCTTTGACGYACACACAGTAATTAAATTGAAATATCAAGGACGTAATATACAATTGATCTTAATTGAAACATTAAGGAATCTCCAAAAACGT